CGTGTGAGGTAGCCGTGGGACGCCCTGTATAATCCTGTGGTGTCCTACTCTGTGGCATTAAAATATTTCTAATGCCACAGAGTAGGATACCACAGTGTAGGACATCATTAATACATCGAATGTAAATTTTAAAGAGTTTGCTCTCTATAGTTCAGCTTAGTTAAGCCCGAGATTTGCATACAGTTTCCTTGGGGTTAAGGGCGCAGGGCATAGGAATTATTAATAGTTTAATGTCATTGGAATGCTTTAAATTGTATATAGCAGCTGAATCATGACCGTCATTAATTTAGGTATTCGTCCATAGTACGTATAAGATGCAGAAATCTAATAAGATAATATAAGAAATGTCCGTAAGTATTAGGCTGGGGAAAAAGTTTCTTCGCATTTCATATGAAAATTTAAAACATTGTTTAATAAATTTATTTACATAATTCTATGTATGTGCAATGTACCATGTGCCATTTTGATCTGTAACTTTTTGCCATCTTGTAGGTAGGGACATGATCCCATTGCTTTAGAAATTAGGTGGTTTCAGACCAAAAACCGCGACAAGTGGTTTTGGCAGTCCTACCGTCATGTTAACCTGACACTGCTTAAAGAATTCTGAAGAGACCGAAACAGTTAGAAATCTGAAGGTGCAAGGTCATTCAAGGACTATACGGTGGATGAATAAACATCTTCCAGTCAAACTATCTTAATTTTCGTGCCTAAAGATGAGTGATGTCTAGCTATCATGATGAAAAACCGCCACTTTCGCTCAACTTCTTGCTTTAATCTCATCAGTTGTTCACAGTAGAGTTCAGAATCGATGGTTCTGCCTAGCGGTAACAGCTCATAATGAATATTGCCCTTCCAATCCCACCATACACACAGCATCACCTTATTGCGAGTTAACCCGGTTTCGCCAGAGTCTGTTAAGCCTGACCGGCCTTTGACCCGGATCTTTTTCTCACGTTCTTGTCGTACGTAATGCACTTTTCATCACCAGTTATCAACTTCTTCAAAAATGGTTGTGTTTCATTACGTCGTAATGGCTTTCATTTATATTGTGGGGCTTGTATAATAATTGTATTAGGTGTACAAATAAGTTCTCACCGTTTAAGAAAGATGGTGAAGTGACGGTGAAAGATTTTAATCATCTTTAACGTTAGAGATGATTTTAAATATCTGTACCGATACATGATAATGCTCGTCCGCATGGTGCTATACTGGTCAAAAACTTTTTATTAATACTTAATTGGGAAGTGTTACCCCATCCGCCGTTTGCACCTGATCTTGCGCCATCCGCCTATCATTTATTCCAATCGATGGCACATGGTTTGTCCGAGCAGCGCTTTACATCATATAAAGATACAAAAACGTGGATTGTTTTGTGGATACCCTCTAATGATGAAGAGGTTTACAAAATAAGTATCCGGATGCTGCCTGAGAGATGGGAAAAAGTAGTGGCTTGTGATGGACATTACTTTGAATACATGTCATGTTTCGTTCTTTCACAATAAATTCTTAATCTTTAGTAAAAAACAGCTGAAACTTATTTGTACACCTATGTATAAAATCTATCCCGAGAAATTAAGAAAAATATAACTATAACGTCGTTAACAATTGAAATAAACCATACTTGAACTTTTCTTAAAGCCCGGGACTATGTCTATATTGTTTGGGTTCCATTTTTAATCCATTTAGTACAAAGTTCAGAACTGCACTACAATAACAGTTATGTATAATTTACATGTTACTTAAGGGTAACATTTATTACAACTGCCATAAAACCTAAAATCAAAGAGCGGAATTTCACTGGCAACGTATATGAGTAAATTATATCCAAAGTTATAGAAGTAAGGTCTTTATTTCAATGGCATATTTGGTTAGTAACAACAGATTAATAATTTATTATTACACATAGTAAGACGTCTTACTAACTTTGGTTTCCATTCGTGTGCTTAAACTAAGACAAAGTTACACTTGTGGGGAATCAAACTTCGCCAGAGTGAAACACTTGTAGGGTTTTTAGTTAGTGTTTAATACAAAATTATATTTAGGAGACAAGACGGTATCAACATTATACGTAGATAATAGGCATGATGACGGGGTAAAGTACTTTGCCTGGAAGAAATTGCTTCTTAGTGATAAGGCCGCCGTTTGTACTATTATGTAATAGTTTTAATTAATTGTCCTTTGAAATATCATGGTGTACAATAAAGTGATCATTCATTCATTCATTCAAAGTAAACGAAATTCTATTTAGTCCTTCAGTTAGATGATCAAAAAATAATGGACACGTATTTTTTCTTTGGGCAATCAACCAAAAAATTACAAAGATAAAGCGCGTCAAAGTTTGGGAGTAGGTAGGCTCGTGACGTCATTTTTAAGTGAAAATTGTACCGAAACGTGACGTTATGCAACTTTTCAAATCAATATATCTCTGCAATGTTTATATTATGTGAAAAAAGAAAAAATAGGTGTCCAATGTTTTTTGATAATCTACCTTATAAACGAAGAAAAAAAATAGCCATCATCCCTATTATTTTGAGACAGGTAAGGTATTGCGAATTTCCCGCTCGAATTGGCGCGCCCATTCTGGGAAGAAACCTCCTTACACAAAATACCTCTACCTTTTGGTGGTGTTAAGTTTCTGTCGGTGAGTAGGGTTCCAGGGCTGCATGGGGTAGGGGATTGGCTCAGGGTAGGCAACGGTGCGATTGATATTTTTGGTATCGTAAGCGTCTATAGACTATGGTGACCGCTTACCATCAACGGACCATACACTTAATTGCCAGCCTTTTAACATAAAATATTGTTTTTGATGTGTAACATCTTTCCTCTCGCTTTCCTGCAATTTGTGGGAGTGATTTCGTGAAATGGAACGGAAGTGTGTAACAGGAAGTCGTGAAAGCGCGCCTAATTTGATTTGATTTTAGACTATAATGTTCAAATGGCTTATTCCTTTTGTAGTAGGTTTTGTTTCTTTTTTTTACTAATATAAGGTGAGGTTTCCAATGTTACACATCATACGCGACTACTGTAAGGCTCTTGTTTACATTATCATGACGATCAAGAGGTAGTGATATTTAATTCCGCGGCGTTACGGAGAATATAATTAATATAATAATAGTACGATATATGTATTAGTTTTCCTAACTCCTGATACCTGATCCTCGTTTTGTCTACTCGTCATAATCCACAAACAAAGAGCATCCATTTATGTCCATCAATGTTATGCGTGTCGAAAATCAGTATAGCAATTTCGCATGGTATTTTCCAGCAGTTACAGAGTATTCTATTTATAAAAATGTCAATTATTTTTACAAAAATAGTATTTGACTAGCCCACAGTATCATAACTTGAGAACGAATCTACCGATTTCATCCATCTTTTTTCAATGTTTGCTAATAGTTTGTGGAACATTATTAAAATTGGTGTGGTTTTATGAAACTTGCATCGTGCAAGTGGAACTTTAAAAATAATTATTTAAAAAACTTCTCCCTCAGCTGGGAATCGAGCGCGGGTCACCCGCGTAGCAGTCATGTTTTCTACCACTGGCACTATACCACCAGTGCATGCTTGTTCATATATCGATATATTTTGTTTTATTTTTAATAAATTATAAATGTAATGCGAGATGATAAAAATTAAAAAAAAAGATGTAATAAAAGTTTCAATTTAAAAAATCATCCCTTGACTGAGAATCGAATCCGGGCCGCTCAGTTGGCAGCCGAGCTTTGAACTACCAATGCTTGTTAATTGGGCCTGATTTTCTAAATAACTATAAAAATGTAATGTAACGTGATAAAGACGAACGAATGAAGAAAATTAGTGGCGAGGTAATATTTTTTTTTAATTTGTAAATTGCGCAGAATATTACAATGTTTAAGAAAACTTACAACTTTACATGATATGATATGTCACTGAAGTGGTGTTTTAGGTATTTGTAGGGTTCCGTACCTCAAAAGGAAAAAAACGGAACCCAACGAAGACCGACTGAACGAAAAACGAAAACCGTTTTTCTCAGGAACGCGTGGAGATATCAAACTGAAATTAATATCTAATACTCAGGTCTACTGTCCCTTGGAGCTGTGAAAAAAATCAAACTTTTAAGCCAAAGCAATCAAAAGATACTGCTGTTTATGCCGCAAATTTTCGATACTCGCACGGGAATCAAAACCTACAAAGTACTTCAGGAACTTAGAATCTTGAAATTTGGTACGTCGTATAAGTAACGTCTTATAGTACAGATAAAGGGAAAATTGCAAAAACCGTAAATTTTTAGTTACATCACATAATTAAAAATATTTTTTAATAATTATTAAAATATATACCTACAGGTTTGTACGGAAGCCTCGGTGCGCGAGTCCGACTCGCACTTGGCCGGTTTTTATATCGAGAAGTACACGGGTTATCGTGAACGTTAAAAATAATATTAATAATAAGGTACCTTTTTTCATAATAAGTTCACGAGTAATAAATTCGGCTATCACCCCTTTTTCAGAAACAGGCGTAATTTAACTGATTCATAAAAAAATACTCGATTTTATTTGATATAACTTACCGCTAACACTTTATTGATAGTAAGCAGATATTAAATTCAAACAACAATACGATGTTATTAAAAGATATTATAAAAAAAATTCAAATCACATTCATAGAACTATCTCCAAAGAAATATCAGACATTCAAACTAAGCGTGCTCTAAAATTCAGCAGCAAGATAACGAACATACGCATACTATAAAAAATAAGAAGGCTTTAAAAAATGTGCACGCTCACAAAACTCTGTGAAAGACAAAAGAAAGGAGCCAGAAAAAAATTAGCGCATATTATCGAGTGCGCTTCGTTCAGTCATTTGGCTCATTGGCACGTGACTCCGTAAATTTAGGGGTTTTCCGGCCAAAAGAAAAATGCTGCGTTCACATAGCTTACTTTCAACCCGTCATGCGTGCTTTAATAGTTCCTTCAGCAGAAAAAAAATACAATATTCTAATACCAATATTTTTTTTCATCAGGTCGTACCAGAAGAAGGATAAGACTCTTGGGTTGCTTTTCAGGAGGTAATTACTTTTTATTATGGTTCTGATAGAATATGAAAACGGTCTGTATTTCAGCCTATTAATGTCTCAACTGCTGGGTCATAATCATTTCCTATGGGAGTCCAGGGCGTGACCCACCACGCAGGCCCAGTGCTGATTGGTGGCTGCTTACGACTGCAGATTCAACCGGTGCAAATGGCTTAACGTGCCTTCTGAAGCTCAGAGAAGCTCAAGATAATAAGTTTTTGGTCACCCATTCAATGACCGACCTTTGCGAAAGTTGCTTAACTTTCACGATCGCAGGCTAAATATCCTAACCACCTGCGCCACTGAGCTCTTCAAATTGGGCTGTATTTAAGTAAATAAAATGATCTTAATTTTCAAACCAAGTTTTATTATATATTTATCTTTACGACGAACTTATTAATACTAGGTACTTAATTAATATTTTTTCATCTGGGACGACAAAGGTAATTATAATATTAAAGCTTAGAGGAAAACAAAACTCTGAAGTAGAAATATTTCGTCGTTATTAGAAGCTGTCCGGCTAATAGAGACAATTTAATTTGGTCGCTATAATATAATATAATCTATATCGCTATAATATAATCACGATATATATTTTAGGTCGCAGTGGCTACAGTTTTATTAAGGTCGCCGCACACGGACCACCGGCCACTACCTAAATGTATATGTAATACTAAATGTATGAAAAATACAGGAAATATGCCGGTGGCGGCGTTTTGTGGCTGTGGCCTGTGGCCCGTGTGCGGCGACACTAAGAACGGCATAGCCACGTAAACTTTTTTGAAGTTATATCTTCTTAGTTAGATCTTTAGGCGCGTTATGAAAAAATGATGAGAGTGAAATTTTAAGATGCGCGCGCATCACTGTAACACAAAACGACCAACTTCATGCTGATTACTTTTGTGTTTACCGCACATTAAGAAAATCTACCAACAAAATAGAAATAGAATCTCTATTTAGTGGGTGCTAACGACTGCATTGTGAAGGCCTATCAAAAGTATTTATTAATCTGGAACAACGGAACCAAAGCGCGATTCAGGAGACTACAGCGCCATCTCTTGACCATTGGTGTAGTAGAACCAAAAATCACATCTTTATTAATCAAAAGTATTTATTAATCTGGAACAACGGAACCAAAGCGCGATTCAGGAGACTACAGCGCCATCTCTTGACCATTGGTGTAGTAGAACCAAAAACCACATCTTTATTTTTCAATGTTACTTTTATGTTATTATTGTAATAAAGTAACAGTTATAGGTATTCATATTTATAATATTTATCCACATGTTTCTAGTTTGTATATTCGGAATACGTGTTTGAGTTTCATACAAGTGCAAATCACATATGTTCTAATAAATTATATTCAGTAGCGATTTTAATTGAATATTTTGATTATTTATTTATTTTTTCAAATTAAAACTAAACTTTATTGACTGTGTCCTTTTCCAGACTTTTTATTAATTTATTGTAATTAATTATTTGCATGCAATTAAAAACTAATTTTAAACGATGCCAAAGAAGGATAACTTCTCACGCGCCTACATAAGTACACGCACCCATTTTTTAGTCATATAAAAACCCTATGTCCTAGTAAAAAAAACACTCAAAATTGACATAATTATACATATTCTTTAATTTTATCTAAAGTACTATCGAAAATTTTTTCCATAACCCACTAGCCCGATTATTGGCATTAAAATGACAAAACAGACAAATTCTCTTTTGTAGAGATAGCGTTTGAAATTAGGACCTTCAAATAATAAGCATTAAAAGTCAATTAAATATTTGATGTCGGTGCCTGGTAATCAGGGATATGGTATATCAAGGTATTCATACCGCATAATTATTATATAACTTCAAGGAAGGTATTGTGAATAGCAACGAAATTAATGATTAATGCCTGCTAGCATGATAAGCTCTTTTGAGGCGACAGCATTACGCAATTGTATTAGGCTGTGAACACACTACAAATACTCTAGCTTAGTGCTAGCTTATGTTGTGATCTCTTTCATACGCTGACGTCGCTGTGTGGATGTCGTAGGTGGCTTTCGAACGCTTTGCGCCGCGTCTCTAGTTATTTCGAACCATTGCAGCGTCAAAGTGGTATTCAGTGTCAATACAAAATGTCGAAACTTGACGAACGTTGACGATGACGTTCATTGTTGTGAACGAAAGTCGTCGTTCGCGATTGACATGACGTATTGACCGCCGACGCTGTGCCTGGCGTTCAGACTTCGATCGGAACATTTACGCTGAAGTTAGACGCAGTGTATAGCTTTTAATAGGAGAGCGTAGCCTTAGTGACTAATCCTATATTAATACACATCAAAGAAGTCCAAGCAACATGCATCATTTACGCAACTAAGATATTTTATATAAGCTTTATTTAATATATAATTTATTTAAAAGTATTTTTGCTTTAGTCACTAATAAATCCAATTATTAATTACTAACGAAAAAATATTATAAGTCCTAAAATTATTAAAAATCGGTAAAAGTTCAAAACATTTCATGTTGCTTAGACTCTTTTGGTGAGTATATTTAATTCAGGTTATCCCTAAGTACATAAACCCTTAGTACTAAAATCTGCTAAAATAAATTTTAGCTCTTTCAAAACATTTACCAATAATTATGCCATTAAATATAAATATCGTTAAAAAGTAAATATAGATCAAATAGTACCAGTAAAAATTGGCTAAATTAAATGAAGCTATATATGGACTAAGTTTCTTTTGCCTTCCCTATGAGAAAATTTAAGCAAAACAGAGGAGCCCGTGTCAGGAGCATTGCGGTGGGATAATAATTATAAAGCTGGTAACAAACTTCGGTTACCTCGTAATTAAGATAGCATTATGAAAAAGACGATATTTATCGCACTATTATATTTTATTAAACATTAAACTCCTAAATGTTTATATTTAAAGAAAATTTTACTTGAAAAAAATCCACGTGATCCAGGCAGCTTTATTTATCGCATTATTTTGATAACTCAATCAATTAGTATTTTATGGAATAACGATATCTTATTTAATGGCAAACGTTTATTTTCGCGGCTTCATTTTGGAACTACCAAAATTAGGCCTCACCAGTGGCTGCTATAATATGACCTAGCCTAACGGTAACATAATAATTAGAAAATAACACAATCACTCCCAAATTGTTACACCACAAGTTAATGCCCGCGACTATATCTGCGTTAAAAATTGGGTTTGCCATACAAACTTCTATCCCTTTGAAACCCCTAAAAACTTCATCGTAAATGATGATTTCCGGGACTTAAAAAAAAATATTTACAAAATTTCATCTAAATTAGATTTGCGGCTTAAGCGTGAAGAGACAACAGACAGGCACACGTTCGCATTTATAATATTAGTATCGATAATTTTGGGTTATTATAAGGATCGGAAACTACACAAATTCGGCCCCAACATAATATTATCTGCTATCTACATTAACCCAAATTGAATCTGAGAATTCGATGTCGAATTTTTAACACAAGTGACAACAAATTGCTCCATCACACCTGATGTTGAGTGTGAGTGATGATTCCAGTTAAGACACAGGAATGTCACGCTCATCTTTCTTGCGTGAACTCGATTTCACCTTGTTGTACTCTGCCACTTTCCCTCAGAATTGAGCGTTATTATCGAGCGATAATATTCGATTCGCAATTGCGATTTATTTTTTTAGGACTTGATGTGTAAAAAAAGGCTACCAAGTTACACTCTGCTGTGATAATAATGACGCAATATAAGTATGACGAATTATCGCAATACCCCATCCGACATTATCGACCGATGGAAACAGGCCTATAACTTTGAGTTTTTACATTATTTAACTGCAGTGATCTATTAATTAGTTGGAGGCTAACCAGAAGGTTTTAATGTCATCATTGTTACTATCACCTTGGCGGTCCCATATTAGTGGAAAATCAACTGTCTAGATACCAAGTCCATCTTTAAATAAGTTACTCGTATCATCATCCAATTAATAACTCCACTGCTGATGCACATGCCTTGGTTGCTGATAGATGATCCACCACGTGGGACTACTCTTGGTAGGTAGATTCTGACCAATATTCTGACAACTGCAGTTATAGCCTGGACCAATAATTTAACACGCCGTCTGACAATCCTATAAGTAGCCATTGCGAAAGTTGCCTATATAACATGTGTGAACCTTCCAATATTTGCTATGTTTGAAGCTGTTACCTCAAGAAGTATAAATTATGAATTTCTGTAATTTATATTTAATGATACATCATTCACAAAGAAACTGTGCTATTTTCACATTCGCACTTCAAATATTACTTACACAAAAAAACGTTACTTTTAAGACTGAAATCCCTTAAAGTGTGTGTTTTATTGTCTTGTTCTTTTTTCACGACATATATTTTCATGCTACCTAGTCACTGAATATATATGTCCCTATACTATGTATTATAAGAGAAATAATACTAACCAATCTTAAAATATCTTAAATCCGTTTCAAAGTCGACTTGCAAGTTAAAGCTGACATATGGTTTTGCTTTATTTATCGTTGGCATCCTGGGACGTCGCCTCATCTGCCAGATGGCTTAGCATCAGCTATAACTTTAATACACTCAAGTTGTTCCAGTAAACTTTCCGTTTGGCCACATCAGCAAGCAGCAGTCTAAAATAATTTACAAGTCGCTAAGTACGTAAGCATGAGCTCCGCCAGCAATTTACGGAGTTCTAATGAAGAGATGACTGAAGTTTTGACGAAGCACAATGGAGGAACAAAAATAATTGTAAACGCAACCAATATCTGCATGTTATTGTTTTTTTTAGTCTATTATTAATTATAAATGATAACGACTGTTTGCATTATCCTATTTCAGAGAGTTTCACTAGCATTTTTTATATAACTGCATAACAAGAAAAAAGTTATGTCATTGCTAATAAGACCAATAAGACAACAATTTTAATCATTAGTGTTTTTGCAGTGCTATTACTATCGGTAATGTTATTGAA